AAGTGAATTTGCGGTGCATTAAACTGTAAAATATTTCTGTTTGGGAATGATGTAATCTGAAAGTAGTTTGTGTAATATAACAAGTATAAATCAGAATATAGTGAGTGTTTGAGGAAATGAAGAAGTACGATATAATTTTTTAATTACTTATTTACTTACATCATCGTCTGATTTTGCCAATGGTATTGCATTTGCTTCCATTGCAAGTAAAATAGTTGCGATTGCTAAGACATGCATGTTCTATACGGGTGCCCTAAAAAAATAAAATTGTTATTTGGATCATAATTGTAAAATACAATATTTTAAAGATTAGTGAAAAATTAAAATAAAATTGGTTTCTTTAGTTTTGTTTGGTTCATCTAGTTATTGTCATAGCAGCAAAAAGTTTTGTGGATAATTAGATATTATCTATCACGTTTTAAACACTTTTGTCGTTGCATATAATTGAAAAATATAAGCAAATTTTGGAATTTATTTTTTGTTTTGTTCTCACTGGGCCAGTGAGTAGTTAAAATATGAGTAAATAATAATGTAAAGTCAATACAAGTAGATAAGACCAATATAAATGTACTTATATTGTATAAATACTATTACAAGTATTAATATTAAACTTAATGGCTTCCAGGTTGAACCACTTTGATTGCTACTGTGCCGAGCTTTCAACATCCTCTTTGAGTCTTCTTGAGGGCTTCCGAGGTCTGAGTCTCTCGTGCCCCTCGATACTTCTACAGTGATCACTAATCAATACATTACTGCTACTGGTAATGGTGGACGGTTCATTTATACCGTCGATGGTGATGTGGTTTCGGTGATGGTTAGCGTGGGGGGCAGTATTAATAATGATGACATAATTTTCAGCCCCCCCAGAAATCTCAAAAAATCCCGGAAAATCAACAAATATTTTTTTCATTTTATATCAATGATGTAATAATACTTATATATTTTATAAATTAAATTTCAGGTAATTTTTTACACCATATATTATTATATTCCTTATATTTGTTATAATTATTTACACTTTGACGATCTATAATATGTTTATATACGTGTATAGATATACAGTGTGTAAAAGCCAAATGAAATAAATTCATTATTTAGGTTACTGTACATATTTATAAAAAATCCCGAAACACGTCAAATTTAAATTATAACTTGACATTCTTTAACGTGAATAATGCAACCCCTACCTTCAACCCCCTTAGAATGACAAGTACAACCCTCAATCCCCCAAAGTCTTTTCATTCTCCATTCAAAAATGTTGTCGCTTTTAAGTTTATTAAGATTAATTAAGATAAAATAAATTAAAACCATGTGGTTACCGAAATTCACTAAAATATACTCAAAACTTATTTCCCGTTTAGGTCTTGATAATGAGAAAGTGAACAAACACCATATCAATGTGGTTTTAGATGGTAACCATTAAAAAACTTTAAAGAATTTCCATGGCAACGCTATTTTAACACGCATTAGTAAATTGTTTTATTTAAGTTGTCAGTTTTTTAATTTAAGTAAACAGTTCGTTCAATTAAATTCTGCAAAATGATTAGATTGACGGAAATGCATAAAATAACAGTTTTACAAATGATTGATTACGGAGATAACAACCGAACATAACAGGAAGTAACTTGCTGATTTCATGAGAAATTTCCTAGTGTACCGCCTATTTCCCAAGGAACAATAAGTAAAATAGAGAAGCAATTTCGCGAGTTTGGCCATGTAAGGCAGATAAAAAAAGCAGCTGCCAATGCACTGAGTGATGAACTCAGATTAGATGTGTTGCTTGAGTTTTAGGAAAATCCACATACATCGAGAAGACAGGCATCCACTACATTCAATGCTAGCCATACATTGATAGTAAACATATTAAAAGAAAATAAATTGCATCCCTATAAGATGATACCTACTCAGGAGCTCATGGAAGACGATTTTGATAGGAGAACTTTTTTTTTGTGAGCAAATGATGGACATGTTGGATAACAATATTATCCAATTAGAAGACGTTATGTTTTCTGATGAGTGTACTTTTTCACTTAACGGTCATGCTTATCGGCAAAATTGCCGCTACTGGGCCACGGAAAATCCTCACTGGATGAGAAAGGAACACAATCAATATCCTCAAAAGGTTAATGTTTGGGCAGGGATTGTAGGAAACGATATCATTGGTCCCTTTTTCATTGAGGGCAACTTGAATGGCAACAATTATTTGGAACTACTTCAAAATGATGTCATTCCAACGTTGGCAAATTTATATCCTGATCCAGGAAACCCTCAAGTTCCAGCGAATACGATATGATTTCAGCAGGATGGAGCACCACCACATTACCAACTTAATGTCCGGCAGTACCTCGATACAATATTTCCCAATCGGTGGATAGGGAGGCGAGGATCGATTGAATGGCCAGCGCGATCACCTGATCTTACATTATTAGATTTTTTTTTATGGAAATATGTGAAGAGCCATGTGTACAAAACTAAACCTTCTGATTTAAATGATTAAAAGAACGAATAACGCTTGCGATTAGGTCGATCACACCTGTTATGTTAAATAATGTTAGAAGACAGTTTTATTTGAGATTGGGATGTTGCCAAGACGTTCGCGGTAATCATTTTGAACATCTACTTCATTAACATTCATAGTTCTTTTTCGTGTTCTACATTTTATTACGTTTTGCATTACATTTTAGTTGTTGATTGTATTGTAGCGAATTTCGCTAACCACATGATATATGTATTTATGTGAATAGGAGAAAGGTCATCTATATAATAGAAAACCGGTAATATATAATAATATGCGTAAAAAAGGGGGATGAGTTGCAGATGCCACGCTCCAAAATTTCGTCAAAATAGTCCCTAACTTCGTTCATATTATTCATAGAAGGTTTTTTTAATGTGAGTTATAGAGATATATAGAGATCATATTCATGGATTTCTAGCGGTTTTTTTGTTTCCATGTTTTCTTTAACACCCATTATTCTGTTTGTTGAAAGGTTCTTGTTAAAGTGTAGTATTAGGCTGTTTCCATCACTCAGGATCTTGGAGCGGTCAGTTAGACGTGATTAAAGTAAGAAATGTATTGCTTGAATGCTAATTAACTTGCCATGGTTATTAACCCTGCTATACTTTCTGCATAATATTTTATATGTGTTAAAAAGCAACGCAGATTTCTTTAAATTATTTTACATTTCTAATATTTTCTCCTCCTCAGTCCTAATCCCATTTGGGATGTGGTGACACGATCAGGCCTTTACAGTTTTTTCACGATTTCCTTCCATCCTTTAATGTTCTGGCCTAGTTGGTCGGCTTCATTTAACCCTTCGTTAATCAATATTTTTGTTTGATTGACCCAACGGCTTGGAGATCTTCTACTAGGTCTCTTTCCTTCAACTCTACCCTTGACTATCAGTTTTTCCATCGTACCTGTTCTTCTAGCAATGTGTCCAAAATACTGCAAATATCTCTGTTGTAATTGTTTAATCAATCTATCCTTTCTTTAAGGTCCATGTTTCGGATGAATATGTGGCTATATGAAAATGAGTGTCCTTACCAGCCTTAGTTTTGTGTGTATTATTATGCTACAATTTTTTCAAATTGTTACCATTTTCATCATAGCTGTTCTAGCAATAGTCCAACCTTCCACGTTACACCCTCCATCATTAGGGACCCCAGGTATATGAAACTATTTACTACCTCAAAGCCCCCAATTTCTTTAATGTGTTGAAGATTATTACGAGCTCTGTCTACTTTCATAATCTTTGTCGTACTCATATTTAGCTTTAGTCCATATGTTTTGCTTTTCTCCTCCCGACATCTCATTATGTCTTCCAATTCTTCTTAATTTGCTGCGATTATTAAAGTGTCATCAGCATATCTCAAGTTACTGATTTTTTGACCTCCTACTGATATACCACCCTTTCATCCTCTAGTACCTTTCGCATAATGTGTTCGATGTAGATATTAAACAGAGTTGGTGAGATTATGCATCCCTGCCTGACACCTGCCTCTGTTTTGAAATGATCGGAATGGGTGCTTTCTACTGTTTATTCTTATTTTAGTTTAATTTTACTGTACACTTATTATTTTCATATAGACTTCTAGTTAGTTGAATTAAGTAGTGGAGTGTTCCCATTTCCGGTAGTATGGAGCCATAGCTGCTGCCATATTTAAAATAGTCCAATATTTAGAATAGTAAAAAAATACCAAATATATTTCCAGATTATATTAATCAACTTTTTTTATGATCTGACAAAGATTCAATAAAATGTTCAGCTTTTAACTTATTCCACCACATAAATCAGTGTTACGCTTGTACGTACTTTTGTGAGTATTATTCTTGTATTTTTTTTAGTAATCGTCAGGAGAATGGTACCAAAGTAAGAAGTAAGTGTTAACTGAACCATAAGTTACTTTAAATAGAGTCTGCTTAATAAAATTTAAACAAAACCTGTATCGATATTGACGTATTGTTGATTGACAAATATCAGCATGCTAAGTAATTTACTTTCTAAGAAGATAAAATTACCATACGTAAACGCGGAATTGACCTTTGCTTAGAACAGTACAAACAATGGCATAGTCTAAGAATACTAATTGTAAACACAGAGCAATAAAAATAGTTCCATAATGTATTATGTTACCTGTCATATAAATTCCGGTTAAGAAGTATGTATAAATAAATATCTATTAACTAAGAGTTTTACTTATCTGCCTAATAATTAATAACTGCAGCCTCAAAATAAAACATTATTTTACATAAGTGTCAGTCAATAATACGCAACTGCTTTATATATTTTATTATTATTATTTATATATTTATATTAATACAGGGTGATACAAAAAGGTATGTCATAAATTAAATCACGCATTCCGAAGACAAAAATAAATTGATTGAATCCAACTTACATTAGTACAAAAGTGTACACAAAACAAGTTACAGCCCTTTACAAAAGTTATAAAATAAAAATTGTTTTTTTGCATTATCTCCTAAACTAGTTACTTTTTTGCTCTGAAAGCATTTTTTATAAAAAAGAAACAACAAAATTTAAGAGCACAGAAAAATTTTAAGTGGGTGTGCAGCCCTAAATCCCCCCAAACTTTTAAGTACGTTCAAATCAAATGAATTTTTGTTGCATGATTAGTTTAACACCTTATTTTTAAAATATTTTTGCCTCCTATCACTTTTTTAAAAAGCAGTTTTTATTGAGTTAAGGCTCTTTTCATTATCCTTTAAAAAATTATGTGCAACTAAATAAATGA